CAGCACTGTCCATAGCTGATGCTGGCGCACGCACGGTGCTGCTTCTGGCATGCTAGGTGGGAGCTGGTATGAGCTGCAGGTGGGGTCTGGACATGCTCCCTCCTCAGCATATCACAGCAGAGCCGCTGGCTCCCTGGCTCATGACTTTGCAGCTACACACCTGTGGGCCAGATATGATCAGTTGGTGGGCCAGATCTGGCCTGCGGGCCATATTTTACCCACTCCTGGTTTAGACCATTGATTAATAACCAGGGTGCTTCAGCACCCTGGGCTATCATGAGAACCTTTTAAGTGTGCCTCACAATATCAGCATAGGCAGGTGAACAAACACATACATGATTCACACGATAAACCCAGAAATTTAAAGTAGGACTCTAGTATCAAAACATTCACCAGTTATGGTCTTCCTAAGTTCTTTGTAACAGAATAATTGCTCTATTACTTTTCCATCATCAAAAGACAAGTAAAAGTGAAGAGGCATTTTGGGTGCCTTGAATGTAATGAGAGATGCCTGGAGTCTAAAAAGGTTGACAACCACTGGTCTGGACACTGTGCAGAGATGGTATAGTTAGTATTTCTGTTTGAAGATCTTTGGAAGTGGGCACAATAGTATGTGTGTTTGAGGACTGGGGAGCACATACCTTGGAGACAGAGTTTCTAAAGCAAACATATGGTAGTATGAGTCCTGGCTCTCTTAACAGGCAGTGACACCTCCTCAGAGCTTGAGCAGGTAATGGACAAAAACCTACTCCACAGTACTGCTGTTATTTTTGTCTGCCCTAACATGACTGGTATGATATTATCTGCCACCCACCAGGGGCTACACTTTAATTCACTGTGGCAGAAGTAAAACCAGCATTAAACTTGCACTCACTTTGCCTACTGGTGGATTTGCAATAACAGGACTGCTTAAACTAATTAGCTATTTGTACAACATCCCACAGGTTCAATAGCTTCTGCTAAGCTCATGTATATATATCAAAAGAAAATTTCTCTCTACAGAAATGTGAACATATCTAGCTATTCTTTTCTCTGAACTTTTTCCAGACCAGAATTAATAAGATAAGTCTAGCTACACACATCTGAACAGTTAAACAAAATCTGATCCGATTTTCTCTGGATGCAGAAATAAACAAGGCAGGTTTGAGAAAGTAGTTCTCACTTTCACCAAAAAAGGGAACTAGTAAAGCATCTTGGAGGAAAACCTCACAATAAACTACTTCTGATTATGACACAGATGGAGGAGGGCTCAAATCTCTTATGATATAAACGGGGAAAATTGTTGAAGTCTGTGGAGTTGTGATCATTTATACCAGCAGAGTATTTGGCTCCCCATGCTCTACATGATATTGCTTGGGAACTCCCACCAGTGCAGTATTGTAGTATTAGTCTGTAGTTAGCTGAGCTGTTCTGTGTCATTAACTTAGGACATGGGCAGACAAAGTTCTTTGGGTGAATCTGATCTCTTTTATTAGACCAACTTAAGTAGTTGGAAAAAAAAATCTACTTTTTTCCAATTACATGCACTGAACACCACTTTCTCTGTCTCAGCTCTGAGGATTCCTGTGTCCCCCTCTGCCTAGATTCTCCTCTCAGATGTGTTTTTCTTCATCTCCATGCATTCATGTACTTGAATTCTCAAAGGTCATTCAGTCCAAAGCCTATGTCAGAAACAAAATGACGAGAAGACTTTATTAAAATTAAAATATCTCACAACAAACTGTGGTAGTAACAAGATGTGCTCTAAACTTTTCTGTTTGATCACGCTACTTTTATTGTTTCCAGTCCCGTCTCCCTCAATTCTGTGCCAATCTGTGTCCCTACATTTCCCACATAGAGGCTAGGCTTGCTTTCATATTAGTCTGTTAAGTATGAACACACTCTTGGAACATTGCTAATGGAAACCAAATTTCTGAATACAATGACAGGTGAGAGTCAAGTGTTAGGTAAGATGTGTGCTTTTCCACTGATGGTTAATGGTTAATCTTTAACAATTAGAAGAGCTTTAGATTAGTTTGTAAGAAGCAGTCTATTTTTTAAAACACTCGAGGGTGTGCAAACAGCCTAAAATATGGAAAGTAGCTAAACTAGATAGAAAACAATGAGAAGCAATGTGAGCAGAATGGAGTCTCTCTCTACAAATTCCTCCTATTTTCCTGGATTTGTTTTAAAGGCTGAGTCAAGAAATAGCAGAAGATTTAGTAGAAAAACTCAGCTGCTCTAGAGCTTTGCTCCAGGTCACTGATAAGAGGAAAGGCAAAGGGACTGTAAACTACCTTTGCATTCATTTTTGTCAACCTCCAGGAATTATGTGCATCTGTTTGCACACAACCATCATTTAAAGTAGCCTTAAGCAGCTCCAAATTCTCCCAACTTTGATAGCTCCAAATGGGCTGAGTGACAGGGCAGCTTAGGACACCAAGACTCTGTACACCAGTTTCCCTGACCTTGTCCTCTGTGCTAAGGGACAATTCTGGGGGCAGCTGAAACTGCTTGAGCTGTTTCTGTTTGGGTAAACAAAGAAGAATGAGGGCAGTGCCATTGTTGAAGCTTCCAGGCTGAAATAGCTGTGTGAATGTGTCTGTGTGTTCATACATGTGTGTAAAGGACCTTAACTTGGTAGCACCATGCCTTGCATATCTGCTCTACCTAAAATCTGATTACTTTTGCATCATTGCAAGAACAGTATTCCTAAATTACCTGTGCTTCTTTCTGTTAAATAACTTATACAAATCAGTCCACAAATAGGAGTGTAAAATGTTTTATAATGGTGCTCAAAATAACTTTTTGTTTTGTTTCCAATTTGTAGGTGAATATTTATTGTATGTAAACTAATTGAACATGCAAGTATAGTCATCATTTTTTCAAGGCATATTTGCTGTGATTACAAGTCAATAGCTTGCCTCACAGTACTAATAAAAAGCCACAGGCCCTGATGAAATGAAACATGATTTATAGGTGAGGAGGTGATAAAGAATGATAAACCAGAAATTACTGTACTCAGTGGCTAAGGTATATATGTGGAGAATTAGAAAAACCCTTCCGCAAACTTATTTTAAAAGAATACATCCACAAGCAGGATGCTACCATCTCTAACAACCCTCCTGCCACAACTGAGAAAACACACAATAATAAACCATGGGACTAACCACACATTGGACTACTACATTGCATGTTTCAGGAAGAAAACTAACAGCAAAATGCTCCATAAAAACCAGGACCTCAGTAACCTCTCTCCCTCAAAGAGAAAAGACATATAGATCCAACAGCAAAATAGTAATTAACTAGTATTATACTAATGCTTGTTTAATGAGTATTAGCTAAAGTGCTGCCACCATTTTAAGTGTGGGGATGCTGATATATGACACAGAGGCTGGCTGAAGTGTGCTAATTAGCATACTCCAGCAAACTACATTCATTGAGCCTGTTTCATCGCACTAGCCTCCCAGCATACCTACAAGCATAAATTATGTTTTACCCAACTCCTGAATTCTTTCCACACAGGAAAGATGAGAATGACCCTCATCACCTTTGACAGGCCTTGATCTCCCAGTAATCAGCTGCTTTTCTTCTGCCAATTGTGTCTCTCCTACCCCTGTTTCAGGGGTGTACTTGGTAACTGTGTTGGTCTGAGACAAAAAGACATACAACAAACTAGAACTCTTGGTTCCAAAATGATACCTTTTATTAGACCAACTGGAAAATGGCAAGAAAACTGTCCTTTTCTGCAAGCTTTTGGGATCAAAGTCCCTTCGTCAGGCTCTGGGAAAAGTGTAGATGGTACAAGATGGTAAAATTCCTCATAGGCAGGAAATAAACTTCATTTTTGCACAGAGGGAGCTGAAGATGGAAGTCTGTCCCTCTGAGTCCATGAGAGTGTCTTTGTGAGCTGTGTTGAGTAGCTCTTTGATGTGTTGATCAGGTAGAATTCCTTCCCTGGAGGTGTCAGATGGCAGGCAGGGAGGTAACAAAACTTCCTTGTTGTTCTGAATGAAGTTTAAAATCCACAATTGGCTAAAATTTGGCATCTTTCATGTTTCAGGGGTATACTTGGTAGCCCTGTTGGTCTGAGACAAAAAGGCATACAAAAAACTGCTACCCTTGAGAATTTTCTCACCCCCTTCCTGCT